AAAATGCAACATGAAATCAATGCGACGTGGCGCTAAAACATAAAACTGCTAACCTCAAGCTCTTATGCCTTCCTCTTTCGCCGCTTCCACTTTTTTTCAGCACACATAAAAACTACGACGGCTCAAGGGTGATTCATCATGCTCTTTTTGTTTACCACTGATGATGTTTAATTCTTCTATTGTAATGTGCGACGTATCGTACGAGTCAATAGTGTCATCATCGTACAGTCTACACCCACGTCAAAGCCACTAGAAGCTTAGTATGACAATCTCTGCACATGTGGTAGCCAAGTTTATCAGATCCATGTCACAAAGTGTGACATGCAATGATCTTATTGGATTGCTAAAATCATGCAGTGTGTCTCGGGCTTAAAATAACACCACAGGACTCTTTCACCCAAAACTGAAAATGGACTCATCCTGCAGGCCATCCATGTAGTTGAGTTTGTTTCTTCACCAGGACAGATTTGGAGAAATGTAGCATTACATCACTTGCTCACCAAAAGATCCTCTGCAGTGAATGGGTGAAAAGTTCAATTCAATTCAATCCAGCTGTTGCACTTTATAGATTGTCATTTTATGACTTACAGTGTGGGTTTGGGACAAGTGAATAGCATTAAAATCTATATTGTGAATAAAATGACTTTTTTTCAATAAATTTTAATGAGGAAAAAGCCTGGGACATACTAGATCCCTCAGGTGTTGTTACTCTTGCTGATACCAAAACGTATATATGCTAATCAATCCAATCATTCAGGGCTGCGTTTCCCAAAAGCACCGTATGCTTAAGTACATCGTAGACCCATTGAAACCAATGGAGCTGTGATCAACTTAGGCTTATGATGCTTTTGGGAAACGCAGCCCTGGATGTCTTCAAAAACATCTAAAGGACTCCAGACATCTCATTTTTCACTTGAACTGTCTTCACATCAGACAGACAAAGAACAAATACAGTTTATGTCAGAGTAGCAATGTCAAAAACCATCAGGCAAGCTAAACCAATCCATAACTCCCTATTCCTAATTCCTCACAGGCTTGAGGAAAGAGCAGTTTTCTGGATTCACATTTCACATTACAAAGCAGTTTAACAGATGCCAGTTCTAAAATCACATCTCTACAGATCACATTAAGATTCTGTGCACAAAACAATTATCATGTGTGTGTCCAGTTCAGCACACCAGGGTTAAGACTCTGATCCCATAAGCAAACACATAAACATAGACACTCTCTATTATACAGATCTGCACAGCTGTGATGTTCAATTCCCAACAAATCCCCCAAAACAACAGCGCATCAACATCCAGCATCCAGATCTAAAGTATCTGCAGTAAAGTAGACCTTTACAACACTTATATCTCTTTTTGGACTAAGCAATCTTAAAGGTGACATATGAAAATCTGACTTTTCCAGGTTTTAAGTGCTATAATCAGGTCCCCAGTGCATCTACCAACCAAGGAAATGTGAAAAACTATTATTAATTAACCCAGTAACTTTGTTTTGGGAAGCCTTTTTCTGCAAGCGTCTGAGAAAACGAGCGTCTGATTTCGCTCCCTTTGTGACGTGGCAAAGGGATCTCATTATAATATTACCGCCCCTTAATCTGTAAATTTACACCATGGCGCCATTATTGTGTTTTCGCAAGCGACAACGGTGTGCCAGCTCTAATGCCACGGCGAAAGTTTGAGCAGAACATACTAACTGTTCTGTCTTTGGCTTCACAGACAAGCACAGAACACTATTTACAGTCCCAGCCTCAGAGGAGACGAGAGAGCAGTGCATTTATTGATGTATTTACTGTATATTGCTGCTGCCACACAGATCTAAAAAAAACATGTGATTTAGGAACTATTGACATAAATACCTAGACGCCTCATTGGCCGCACGTCAACATCGCCGCCATATTGGTGAAGGTAACTCTCATATCGGGACAGGCAAAAACATACCGGCGCATGATTTCCGCGCGATAAATATGATCATCAAAACCAAAACAGATGTTTTTAGCAGGTCCGAGCTGTAATGGCGCAGCTCTATTCTGGAAAAGGGGGCAATATGTACAGTGAGCACTTTGACAAAACCATGCCAGACTGTCAGGATTAGGGATGGAGCTAAATCATCTCGCTTTAATTTCACTAACGTTCAACAAATCAACAAGTGAGACAAGTGCGAGTTCTCAACTTCTCACGAAAATTAATAATTTTCCAAACCCAACTAAATAACTGGAGGCAGAGTTATTTTTAAATCGGTTGATAAATGTAAACGTTATCATACTTGTGCCATGGTAAGATCTTGTTCAGGTATTCGACACATGCATGCAGCGCTGTTGCGGTTGACTAAAAATAAAAAACTTTAAAAATAATTGTCAGTAATTAAAGTAAAATATAATAAAATCAAACATATTAGATATAAATTAGAAATGTTGTCTTAGAAACTAATTGAAATAAGTCCTTATAAGTAAATAATAAGTAAATTACTAAAATTACTAAAAAATAATAAT